TTCAACGCAGATCTCCATCTCGCCACAGGTCATCATCCAAGTCGAGAGTTCAACGCAGATCTCCATCTCGTTACAGGACAGCCTCAAAGCCTGAAGTTCAACGCAGATCTCAGTCTCGTCGTAGGACACCAGCTCGAGCTGAAAACGAACAAAAGGCACCAACTCCCTACCAGGACATGCGAGCGGAGGACCTCAGAAGGGAACTCTTCAAAGCGGACAAAGAGATTCGGGAGATCAACGCTCAGATGGAAAATGAGCTACGACTCAACACCGAGAGGGCTCAGCAACGACACGAGGAACTTCGCCGGGAAAAGGACATTTTGCTCGCCAAGAAATGTCGGCTCAAGGGAAGACTGGACGATCTACGTATATTGGCCCGTCGGAATGAGATGCAGCCTCACCGTGGAAGGAGCCGTGAGCGTGGACAGTCTACAAGGGACCCCTCGCGCCAAGCTTCAACGCCCCGGGGAGTATAACGACTCCCAGTCGTTATTCCTTTCTTGTGCAGTTTGAATTCAGTTCTCATCGTTCATGACTCATCAAGGGAGGAATTCAAACTTGCACGATCAATGCTTCTTTGTGCCATCGATGTAGCAGCTTCTTTCTTTATCTGTAGGAACGATCGGCTCCGCCTCGCCTCGCTAACATAAACAATCTGCCGCATTCTACAGTTCAGCCTGCGCCGGAGCCGGCCGCTCATCGTTTAACCTCCTTTATTTGAATCTCTGATGCTCCAAAACTTGCCTGTATTTAGTGCAATACTTTTATTACCTTTATATACATGATAAACGTTTAATTACCCAAGTTTGAGCTGTCTACCTGTCGCGACTTGGTGAAGTTCGAGCTGAAAAACCCGCGTGGCACTCTTCAGAGGAAAGGCGAGCTGAAACTCCATCAAAAGGTCACTCCCCACAGTCGCGATATTGGTGCATCGGCTAAATCGATATTCGAGTAAGTGGTCAACAGTTACTGTATCGTCATCTGTCCTGTCTTTGCATGCAAAGTTCTCCGTCTATCACTCACTGCACGGTAATACTTCACTGCACAAGGACTCTCCAAAGGACATCTAAGGATCGACGAATAATCTTCAAAGGATTCCGTCATGGCAACTGGTCTCAAAGGCAAGCAATCTTGGCTAACCAGGCAAGGGACCCAGCTACAGGATTCCGTCAATCGACTCGAGCAGCTCAGTTCCTCACAGAATCCGGATCCGAAAAAGCTCTACATTGAGCTTCGACAAGGGACGAAGGAACTGGAACTGAAGCGTGAGGCTCTGGAGAAGGCTTTGGAAAGCTTCACAAAAGCAGCTGATTCGGCAGCTCTCAACGAGGAGAATCAGGAAAAAGCACAATCCAACATCACAACGGCACAGGAGATCCTTGAAAAGGGGTCAGGATCTCTCCGTACGACTACTAATACGACTCGAAGAATTCGAAGCCACGAAAATCAAGGACGCTCACGAAGACAACGGTAGAAAACCGCATCTACCGCCCCTTCAAATCCCTAAGTTCAAGGGACAAATCTGGGAATGGGACCAGTTCTGGGGAATTTTTTCGACCACAGTCCATGCCCAGGAAATCAGCAAAATCGAGAAATTCACATATTTGCTCGATGCTCTACAAGGACCAGCCCGAGAAGCGGTCCAAAATCTGCAAATTTCAGCAGAGAACTACGACCTCGCCGTGGACACCCTCAAGCGGCGAAATACGGCAACGAGGAAGCCATTATAGGACGTCTGCTATCGTCACTACAGGCAGTCCAAACGCATGGCTCCAGCACGACCGATCAACGTCGGATTCTGGAGAAAATAGCACCGATCATCTCTCAACTTCAGCAGAAAGGAGAGTGGATCGACACACAGCAGATGAAGCGAACGATTCTGGGAAAATTCTCGGAAAAGGTACAGCGTGCAGTCCTGAAACGAAGGAAACGCTCTTCGTCGGGCACAGACTCCGAAACGTGGACAACACAGGAACTTTTGCATGAGTTGCACGACTACTTCCAAACAGAGGAAGAGATCCAGCACAGCAAAGGATTCTCGGAAAGCCCAACTCATCCTCAGGTTCCACGCACCACGACAATGAGGAAACCGTTCGGCAATACTCGAGAAGTGGCTCGAGAAATTCCGAAGAAATTTCCATGCTTCTACTGCCACCGAACGGACCATATCCCAACAAACTGCACAGAATTCGCAACCTACGCGCAAAGAATGGCACAAATTCAGCAAAGGAATCTGTGCAGAAACTGCGGTTCCAATACCCACAATGCTGCAGATTGCTCACGAGGAGCATGTCGGAAATGCAGCAAAAAAGGACATCACACTTCGGTCTGCCGGCAATTCGGACTGAAAGAGAGCGAGCCAGCTCGACAGCATACCAACTTCAAAGGAAATGCTCAGGAATCTTCACAAGCGAAAAGGAAATCTTCCACATCACAGAATTTCGCTGCTGTCGTCGCTCACCAGCAGTCGACGACTTGTCTCTTAGGGAAGGACAAGATCTCACAGAATCTGGAAGAGCAGCACTCTCACACCCAGGCCAATGTACTCGTTGGGCAAAGCCCGAGTATGGAACGCAAAAACCGAGGGTTTCGAGGATGTTGCACCTCATCCTAGACACTGGAGCGGATCGATCCTTCATCACGACGGACTACGCCGACAAGCTAGGACTACAGAGCACAGGATCGCTCCAGCTGACCATACACACGTTTGGCAGCAACGTACCAATGGAGAAAATGTGCCCTCTTCACCTCGGTCGAGCTAGAGGATCGCAAAGGAGAGCGACACGTCTTCAATGTGGCTATGGTCGACTTCATCTCCGGAGATCTTCACCGGACTCCCCTCAGTAAGGACGACACGCATACCTCGCACAGCACAACATTGCTTTATCCGTTTCTTCGCAAGAGAAAGTGGTAGCACCGCGCATACTACTCGGATGTGACGATGTCTTCACGCTGTTTGGAACACTGTATCCCACCCTCATGAACTCCCCTCGGGACTGAAAGTACTGCAATCCAAAATAGGCTACCTTGTCACAGGAAGGAACCGTACCATCGAGAAACAGCCTTCTACGGAATCCCATGCCAACAAAGCCATACAGTCTACCAGTACAACGCACCATGAGGACGAGTTGAAAAAATGGGAAAAATTCTGGAGTTTGGACTCTGCAGGAGTGGAGGAATTCACTGGACCCATGGCTGAGGAGAACGAGGAGCAGGACCGAAAAGTCTGGAGTCAATTCCGTTCGACCATCGAACGACACGACGACGGATACTACGTAAGACTGCCATGGAAAGAGTCAACGGACGACCTTCCAGATAATCGGACGATTGCCTTCAATCGACTGAAAAGTGTGCTGAATCAACTCAGGAACCAACCTCATTTGCTGCTACAGTACCACAACACGTTCCAGGAGCAACTTGCAAAAGGAATTATTGAAGAGGTTGATGAGCACGCCGAACCTGACGGGAAAGTGATCCACTATTTAGCACATCAAGCAGTTCTCACTCCTCACAAGGCCACGACCAAGCTACGAGTCGTGTTCGATGGATCGGCTCACCATAGGAATGCGCCATGCTTGAACGACAAGTTTACACAGGGACCCGTGATTCTCCCTTCGTTGGTGGACATGCTAAACCGCTTCCGCATCGGGAAAATAGCCATCATCAGCGATATTGAGAAAGCCTTCTTACAAGTCCATCTACAGAAGATCGACCGCGACGCAACACGCTGTCTGTGGATCAAGGACATCGACAAGCACTCTCACGAGGTCCAACGGTCAGCATTCCGTTTACTAGGGTCCCTTGGGCTCAACTGTTCGCCATTCCTTCTGGCGGCGACCATCATGGAGCACCTAGACCGTTCACCGGATAAGGAAATGGCCAACCATATCAAGGACAACATATATGTTGACAACCTACTGCTCACAGCTGACACTCCAGATGAAGCAGTCGAGCGATGCCTCACAGCAAGGAGCTTTTTTGCGGAAATCAACATGAACCTAAGGGAATTTCGCACGAACTCCAGCACAGCGAACTCGATGCTTCCCGAAGGCTGCTTGTCAAAGTCTTCTTCGCCTAAAGTCTTAGGCATCCAATGGATTTCGGACACGGACAAGCTGCACATCGCCTGCAACTACCCCGCAAAGACGGTCACAACAAAACGGACGGTGTCGGAGCAAGTGGCGGCAGTATACGACCCACTAGGATGGCTCACACCTCTGACGTTGAAACCAAAGCTCTTCCTACAGGAATTGTGGAAGCACACCTACAAATGGGATCAAGAGCTATCTGAGGACCACAAAGCCCTGTGGAAAGCTACAGTGGACGCTATCCAGGGCTTCGAAAAAGAACTGCCAAGGAAGATCAGCGAAGGATCTTCAGCTTCGCCAGCGGAACTCGTGGCCTTCACGGACGCAAGTCGAAACGCAATGGCCGCTTGCGTATATACTTCTCTCGATGCCACGTCAATGCCACGTCAATTTCTGCAATTGCACATTTTCTGGTTATTTGGCGAGGGTACAACAAAAATCAATGCCTTTACCAACAGCACGAATTCAGTACTAATTGAACAATTCAGGAGATTCGATCAAGAATTCGACTCCCGACCAGGGCGCGAGGTAAGCGACATCACTCTCGCAACATCATCCTGCCCTTGCCCAAAAGCCAAACAAAAGTAATGCGCACAAGCATATAGTAGGAGTTACATCTAAGGCATAAAAAACGGGATAAGATACTGAGACAGTACAGGTCAATAGCACCAAAAACAAGTCAAATCTCCACCAAAACCGTGAGAGGTGATGGCGATGATGGATAGCAGCGCGAACAGTTAGAGTAAAAACGAAGGCAGGTGATATGGAAACAAAGGTGTAATAACGACGACATCACCACAGGTAAGCGCTATTTGTGCAAAACCTCTTCTAATATTTAGTTCCCCTTTAGTTTAGTTTGGCGAACAAGGAATTTATGATGCGGATTGTATTTTCGACAGTGTAAAATGATTAAAACCAGGATGATTATGAGCATGGAGTGGAAAAGTGCACAACTTTGGTTAGCGATAAGTAGATGCACAAAGTATTTCGACTTTTCTCACCAAAAGGGATGCGTTGTGGGCGTATAAATAGCATGAATAAATATAGAACTTGAAACAACATAGAGTTGTTATTCTTTTTCATTGCTCCACTGGCAATGGGGCCATATGGAAAAACAGCAAATTGTTCCGAATCGATCAGCTAACTTGTGGAAATTTTGAATCGGAAGACAGCTCTTAACACCTTGACCACGGCGCTGCAACCAGGGTCAGTCCTATCGTTGTTACTTTTTCAAAAATTTTTACGACCCCCCTCCCCCAAGGTGGATTTGGTACGACCCCCTTTCCGACACCTCGACCACCATATTCCTCTCTATAGTATTTAATTCTGGTACCACTCAACCCACCAAACTCCGCCCACTTTTTCCTCCAAAAATGCCGTCGAGCGGGGGGTATATAGTCACTCTGAAACGGTAAATATCTCCGAAAATTTCCTTCTATTTCCACCATTTCAACCCATTTTTTACCTATACTCCCACTACTTCCTTTTCTAGGGGGGGGGGGGTCCACAAAATCTTAGTTTCACCTCAATCCCACACGTGATTTCGAGCGACTAAAGTGGGTACGACCCCCCCTCCTACAAACTCAACCAGGTACGACCCCCCGTTGTTACTCGTAACAACGTAGGGTTGACCCTGGCTGCAACCATGTGTGCCGCCAATTTTGCGCATTACGGTTTCTGAGCCATTCGAGAGGGTTTGACTGTTTTTCATATGTGAAGGGAGCCGAATTTTGAGATCGTGGTATATTTGTTCACTTTGTTTCGACAGAGGCGTTTAATAATCAACAAAAGACATGCCCATGCAGAATTGTTGACTGACTAGAAATAATTATATCAAATCTAAAAACAAAGCAAAACCTGAAGTGGAGGAAACAAACAGATTCCTGAATAACCTGGTAAAGATTGAAAGAAAAAATGGGCTGGAATGAAAAGAATATCGACTTGTCTTCAGATTCCTATTGATTTTAGTGGAGCGGAGATTGATTACTGTCTGCTTATGTATATTGATATGACTAAAGTGTAAATACCACTCTAAACAAAAGAAACCTTCGCGGAAGCCTAGTAATAATAATCTAATATATTAAATATAATCTAATAACATATAATCTAAATAAATATAATCTAAATAAATATAATCTAATATATAATATAATAATCCTGATACAGCTTCTTTGGATTTGCTGTGAAGCAAACTTACTTTTATTATTATTTTGCCAACGGCGCATTTCTTCAGATCTACTTTGATTGAGCATTATATCATTAACAACTGAATATCAAAAAATATCCGCAAAATTTTATGAAACTTATGAGGTCCATTTTCCAATTCTGAAGCCATACATACCTAACAACGGAATATAAATGAAAATGATAGAAGGCGAAATTATAACCTTTTTTCTCTCCTAATCTGATCCTTTAAAAACTTCCAAATCTCAAATTGCAACACCCAAGCAGTTATAACCATACAACAGTTTGCAGCGATGAAAAAAGGAATTAAAAAAGTAAAGGATAAAACAGGAATGTTTACATGAAGCTGCCACTACAGGCACCTAATCTGACCAATGCATCCTCTTTGAGGGAAGTGGATACGAAAACACAAGTGGTTGTGTAACACAGCTACTCGCTGTGGGATTGCAACCCACCAACCAAAACTGGCCTATCGATGCCATATGTGGGCAACTAAACATGCAGGAGTGTTAGGTCAAGTGCGTGAATCAAGGAATTCATAGTGAACCTAATATTTAGCAAGCAGCAGCAGTAAGCGGACCACTGGGGTCTAATCCGTAAGGTCAGAAGGGGGAAAAATTAAAAAAAAAAATTCAAGATTCATGATAGAATGGCAAGTCAAAATCCGACAGTGAAGGCGGGCACGTATTACTAGACTTACTAGCAAGCTGCAGCAGTAAGAGGGTGACTAGTTACTACAGGGCACTATTACTTTACTACCTTACTTAAAGGCAAGATTCAGGATTAAATTGATGAGGTAATTCCACTCAAATGTGAAAGTAGGGGTAGGAGGTGGACCGCCAGTGGAGAAAAAAGGAAAAAAATCGTGAAATACACAGGAAATACGAGCTCTACGCTGCGGAGAAGTTCAAAAGGCCGGCAGGGAGATGAGAGATAATGTGAGCGCGGAGAGCGCTAGAGAAGTACGAGTAGAGAGAGCATAGCAGATCAACATTGCGACGCAGACAAGATATCGAGCGGTGGGCGGAGCGTGTCGCAACAGGTGGAGCGTGTCAAAGTTCTTAGCGCCTAGCGTCTAAAGTAACGCTTTTCGAAGTAGGGAAGTGACGCGACCTCTGCACTTGCGTACCTAGCGCTTCTAGCCACCGTAAAGGCTCATTAAGTGGGTCTGAGCCCGAACTTTGCCTTTAAGAATTATATATCACGAAATGAAAAAAGAACTGATTTCTTAGCCCTTCTGCGGATGGGACCAAAACTCAATCCAATCCTGAGTGAATTCAAAACTCTTATGTAGTCTTCAGACAAGTTTTCGCGGAGCACTTAACTACGTTTCAAACTGGTGAGAAGTGCAAATGTGACATTTTTCAAACCATATAAAATGACGTTTAAAGAGAAATTCTCCTCGCTAAAAGAATTCAAGTAGTAACCCGATCGAACTTCTCTGAAGATTTCTACCACCGATATGAAATTCTTAATTTAAAAAAAACTGTAGCAAATCGGCTTTCGAAGGGGAAGGAATGAAAAGAAGCAATAATTTTCTTCAAAGATGAGAACTCAAAGATAAGCGATATTTGCAATAGCTGTGAAATATTCTGGAACATATCACCAAATCCAATAAAAATAATGAGAACTCGAAACAGGCGCTTCAGTTCAACCATGAAGTGACGACAACGCTGCTTCTGTTCCAAAAGTTTTCCAGGAAAATTGGGGTTTTTTAAAGTTATAAAGTAACTTAGCTTACGACGACAATCTAAGCTTTTAGATCCACATCAACAATATCAAAAAGCTCTGGATGCAAAGAAAAAAAGCAGCCACGATGGGCGATTTTCGATTTGCATCACCATGGTGACCCATCGAAGCGAAACGCCAGCGGTGTTGGTCAAGTTGGCGCAGCGCTCGTGTTTCGTAGGCAAATCAACAGAAATTCGTGCAAAAATTCCAGCACATTTTCGTGCACGATTCGTTTCGAGAATGGAAATGGTGCAGAGGCAAAAAATGCTGCTACAAGCCGTACGTCCAGTAGATCGACCCTCTACAAGCAAACAAAACTTCATCCAATCGATTTATACCAAACTGGTCTGTGAGAATGAAAATTACCAATCTGAACATCCACTGACCGCACCTCATATCGGCAAATCCCCTTGAGGTTCCGAAACTGTAACTGGAAATTGCGTGGGTGGCACCTTTCGAAGGGATTGTTAGACACCATACCCACAACGTGGCTCAATGTTTAAGAGATATCCTTTAAACCGCCAAATGCCTCCTCTCCCTAGCGTTTCTGTTGGAACGTAAGGGGGTACAA